AGGAGTGTATCCATCCTTTACCATTCGTTCGACCAAGCTTAATGCCGCGGAAAGCTTACCCTCTATACATAATCCATTGATGAGAGTGTTAAATGTGATTACGTTTGGCTCATAACCAATTTTCATGATCTTCCCCAAAACAGAAAATCCCAAACCCACTTGACGTGAGCGGCAGAAACAGTTGATAAGAATATTCAGACTGTAGTTGTCATGTGAAACCCCGTGCAATTCCATCCTCTTGCAAAGAGAAATCACGATATCATACCGTTTCATCTTGGCAACTGCACTTAGTAATTTACTGAAATCAACAATGGAAGGGAGGGGACGAGATCGAACCATCTGGTCGAATACATCAACAGCATCTTTCACATTACTATTACCAAACCCAGACCTCAATCTCTCCCTATAAGAGACAGAACTGCTGAATCTAAGACGAAGACAGAGACAAGAGGAGAGATGAGAGTGAACAAAACCTGAAGTAGAAGCAGGAGCCATTCTCCGAAGCATCGCCGACATCTGAGTTTCAGCACGAAGACAGATTGAGAATCAGAACTCTGGGAGATTTGCGATTCTGATTTGTCGTGAACTGCGGAAAACAACCCTAAGCTCAAATGGCCCAAACCCCGAATGAAAAGCCCAACGACAAGTCTCTTTTTGAAGCTCCAACCAAACAAACAATAGTCGACAACATCATGGGACATCACTATGACCAAACCCCCATCTCAATCTCTACCAGTAAGAGAGAGAACTGCTGGATCTGAAAACGACGACAGAAAAAAAGCGGAGAACAAAATCTGAGGCAGAACGATTCTGATCTGCGACTTCCAGTCTTCCAATTGGATGATGGCCCATAGCCCACACTCGATTATCCTAAATAGTTGTAAACATTTCTCGGATCAATAAAAAAAAAAATCTCTCCTGTACCTCTTTCCAATAATCATTGAAAGCAAAATCTAATAGTATATTATATGAAGAATCTCAAAAAAATACACAATTTTTTTTTGAAAATATAAAAAAAAACGCAGATTTATATTTCAAATATTTCGATACAAACTTCAACATCAACATCTTCTTCCTCTCAAATTTATTTGAAATCGTTGGTATGATTTTTTTTTTGTTTTTACTTATTTTGAATTTGAGTTAAATCTTTCAAAATTTACAACATATCAAATATGTTAGAAAAATATATGCAACAGAGCTTGCGATTCTGCCTCTGCTGTAAGCCCTGCAATCAGAATCTCAACATCCAGCAGCAGAGCAGATGAGGATGAGGACATCAATGAAGGAGATATCCGCAACACGTTATCGGTATCAAACACAGCAACCTTTGTTCCTCGGTTTTCAGCAGGCATAAAAGATCACGACAACGAGAGTATCTTGAAATGATCCTGAGAGAAGAAACGAAATAACTGAAACTACACGAGAAAATCACTGTAAACCAAGAAAAGTGTCTGCGTATGATTCAAGACGCACCCGCAAAGTGTTGATAGAAAAGAAATAGAAGAATCCTGCTGTTGACACCGGAAGCAGTTGTTCTAGGAGATGCAATAACTATCCTTTGCATGTCTTGCCACAATATAACATTTCATAAAAAAAAAAAAATCATTCACAAAGATGGGGCAACTTGATTCATGTAAATTATTAAAAGTGTGAAGAAAGAGCGCTTTATTCTTGATCTCAAGAGCAAGACTCCCATCATATCTAGTGAACGATGATCTGATGCATTACTTGCCAGATTAACCGACGAGATGATGTAGACAGAACAACCTAAACAATAAACGAGGACGAGAGTTTGAAGTGTTTCAGAATACGCGGCCAGATACCAACGACTTGCATCTGAATAACACTGCGGGAACAATCATAAAATGCTGCAAGTAAAACAACATGTGGATATATGTTAGGGACCTTGGCCACTGCTGCATGTTGTCACATCCCTGTCATGACGCAAACGGGAGTAAGCATTGCCTCCATAGATGAGTTGAGTTCTCTACATCTTTAAAAACAGAGTAACCCCGCACACAGAGAGATATTGCCACAAGCATGATGAATCCATCCAATGCCTTCATCTGTGTGAGACATCATGAGTTCTAGTCAAAAGGGTGCAGCTCACAATTTCGACAAAATTGCAAAGAATACTATGGATCACAAAACTAAAAGCAACAAGACACATGCCAAGGAACTAGGATCTCATCTAGTTAAAAAGAGTTTTATGCTTGTTTCGTGAGTTCTGGGATTGCGTATGAACAGTACTTCTCGACCACCAAATGAAGAAACATCAAAACAAGGAAGTTCAATATCTTTTTTTGGAGATTCCCAGACATATAGTGGAACATGTTACGTGTTACAACGTCAGGAGTATATCCATCTTTTTACCATTCGCTCAACTAAGCTTAATGCCACAGCCCCTCCATACATAATCCATTGATGAGGGTGTTAAATGTGACAACATTTGGCTCGTAACCCAACTTCATGATTTTACCCAAAACCGAAAATCCCAAAATCACTCGACATGAGCCGCAGAAACAGATCATCAGAACACTGAAACTGTAGTTTTCATGTGAAACCCCGAGCAACTCCATTGATTTGCAAAGATAAATCACAACATCTTGGCAATTGCACTCAATTGCCAAGAGGAGAGATGAGAACTGCTGAATCTCAGACGACGACAGAGCAAGAGGAGAGATGAGAATGAACAAAACCTGAAGTAGAAGCAGGAGCCATTCTCCGAACCATCGCCGACATCCGAGTTCCAGGCTTTCCGCACGAAGATAGTCTGGGAATCAGAACTCGGGGGGGGGGGGGGGG